ACAAAAAGTAACAATAAAAGTATTTTGTGTGTTTTTTTTAAAGACACATGTCCCAATGTAACCGTAGGAGTAACAAATGATTCACCACAACGGTTACGTTCATTTCTTCAGCCAAAAGGCTTTCCAGCCAATCATCTTGAGCCAATTCTGGGGCCTGTCCGTTTTTCTGAGATATATACAGACATTTTTTCATGAGGGATGATGAATAAAAAGTGATTCAAAAAATTGTCGCCAATCTCCTGTTATTTTTTTTCCTTTTTGTTGTTTTTCTCTTTTTTTTGTTGCCACTTTGCCAAATACCTTTGGGTGCATCTACTTCCACTGCTGCCCATAAGAATCCTGTGAAAACTCCAGGGTGTCATTACTGTAACCATAGTTACCAGAATAGTCGGCCCCCTGCTGCAGGGGCTGCTGGGCGATGGGCTGGGACCCCCAGTTCTGTTGGTTGTTGGTCTGGCGGCGCTTGGAGTCAGGCTGGTTAAACACGTCTGCCTTCCTTTTGCCTCCGACATTTCCCCCACGATTGCCCCTGGCCCCACGAGGACCACGGCCCCTCTGTGGCTGGAAAGGGGCTCCGCGCCCTCCACGGCCACCCCTGGGACCACCTAGGGGCGGGCCTCTTTGGGCGTAGCCACCGCGGCCACGAGCCGGTGGTGCTCCGCGAGCCCTAGGCGGAGGAGGACCTCCCCTGCTGGGACGAGTACCACGGCCCCTCATACTGTACACATCATCGTAGCCATAATAAGGATCTTCATAGCCACCACGGTAGTCATGATAGTCGTAACCATAGTAGTCATCATAGTAGTCATCATATCCATAGTAATCTGGTGGGTAAGCATAGCCCCCTCGGCCCCCACGACCCCTACCTCGGCCTGGTGGTGGCATGCGTGGAGGTGGGTAGTAGTAGTAGTCGTCATACCTGCAGTGGTAATGACAGTGTAATATTTATTGATTCCATACTTGTTAACAGGTCAAACAGTTAACCAGCCATGTGTCTCTGTCTAACTCACCCTGAATTCCTGGTGGTCTGACGAGCTGCTTGGCGCTCTTTCCTCTTCTTGTCTGGAGGCTTTGCCAAAACAATCTCAATTTCCTCTCCTCCAAGCTCCCTCCCATTCATTTCATCCATTGCCTTAACATAACAGAAGGGTTAGGGGTTAGATAATGACACATCATGATGAGATGATATTTTGTCAGAGGAATTTAAAAAAATAATAAATAAATAAAACACCTTTACAGCAGCATCCCTTTCTTCAAAATGAACAAAAGCATAGTCTTTGAGTTTCTTTACTCGCTCCAGCTTTCCAAACTGAGAGAACGCCATCTCAAGAAGTTCTTCAGTCACTGCTGTGGCGAGCTTCCTCACAAAGAGCACCTTCACCTATGTAGATTAAAAAAAAGAATTTCATACAGAGTGTGGTTGCAGTCTTCTAAAGTGCATAACATAAAATTAAAAATTACTAACCTTGGCCATGACCTCTGGGTCTGGCTCAGCAACAGGGTCAGCCCACTCCACAGTGACCGCGTTCCCCCACACCTTGACCTTGCCACTCATCAGGCGGCGGCGAGCCTGTGCTGCGGACTTGTGATCCTCGTACTCCAAGAAACAGAAGCCACGGTTCTTCTTCTTGTCGTCAGGCTGGTGGTACAATATCACCTCCTGGAGACCCTCTGTAAGATGAAGACAGTGTCTTTGATTTCATATTAAGGCAAAGAATCAAGCCCCACATATCCGACATGGCAAAGGATCTCCGTGTATGTGGACCTGACCTGTAACTTTGCCGAAGTCTTCCAATATACTTTCCCTTGTCTTGTTCTTTGGAATCGATCCGACAAACAGGCGATTGTTTGCAACAGATATACATACTCCCAAGTACTTGCCAGGACGGATTTCATGGTTATCGCACTGAAAACAAAATGGAAAGACAAAGAAATAAGGGACATTTCACTGTAAATAAACTGCAACATATAGAATGAAACCATTTTCTAAAACAGAGTACACTTCACATTTCTGTTTTTGTATTTTACAATAATGTAATTTTTTCCACTCCCCTGCCAGATCACTTACAAGCTTCACGGCCTTTTGTGCATCGTCCTTGTTGCAGTATGTGATGAAGGCATAACCTCTGTTCTGCCCAGAGAGAGGGTCCATCATTAACCTGAGGTCCCAGATTGCACCAGCAGACTCAAAGAGCGGCACCAGCTCATCCTCATACAAGTCTCTTGGGATTTTTCCAACAAACACCTGATGAAGAAGTGATAATCCGGTGGAGAAGTTCAAGGATTTGCAATGTAAATTATACACCATGATATTTGGTATTCTCAGTGGAGGATATAAAGCAGGAGAGATTTATTATCAGTCATTCTAAAAGCAGTAAAGCCTTGAAATTATTGACAGACAGATTTTAGTATCTATCTACTCATCTACCTCAGTTCCAATCCCTGGTTGCACTCCTTTGAATACATCCTCAGGTGGGGGACCACCATACTTTCTCTGCCCTGTTGTGACGTCCAGGGTGTATCCTGTCCGCTCCAGCAGAGCCTGAAAACAAACACAAAAAAACATGAACTGAGCTCCATGGTTTGAGAGGCTTCTTTATATGACATTCACTCTGACATTTTATACAAAAGTTCCACTTCACGATTTTTTTACCTTAATTTTCGCCTCGTCTGGGCCCTTCGTGGACTCCTGAACTTTACTTCCTTGTTTTTCTCTCTGTCTGTAGGTCTTCATGACTCCACACAGGAAAGCGCTCTTATTCTACAATAAGACAAAATGAGAACAATGTTCATGAAATTAAACTAGCACAGAAATACAAAAAACAAACAAACAATGTAATCCATCCATGTGGTTACCTGTACATGGGACAGATCGCTCTCTCTGAACTGCTGGAGCACAGTAAGTGCTCCCTCCTCGTTGAACTCCCTCAGAGCATCGATAGCCCTCTCATCCAAATCAAGATACGCCACCAAACCTACAGGTACAAGACAAGGTCAATTGTGTTTGCTAAGCCACAGTCACAAATATTTACTGTAAGAGCCAAAGCAACCATCACCCACCTGTCTGAAAGATGTTGTCTAGACTTTCAGCCACTTTCTGGGGCAGCCCAGCATCAATGAGCGTCTGGTAGTTCTCTGTGTGCGTTGTCGTCACATCCATGGGCTCCTCTTCCTCTTTTGCCGGAGCAGAACTACCGTTCACCTCAGCGGCAGCCATTCTCCTTTATAACAGAGAATCCAAGAAAAACAATATATTCAGAACAAGTTAATCTTGAAGACATTATTAAAAAATTTTCATTAAGACAACATTCATTAAGCTGTTATTGACTTCCTGCAGACTAGAGAACGAGCACTGCTCCCAGTCGACCACATGCAACTTATATATCTCACTCGGGTTTTTCAACTACTGTAACTCTACAATAACACATTTCTATCAGTGCAATTTCAATTGCATATACCTGCAATATTTTGTTACAGCATAAATATTTTCATTACATTGGACTTATTGCCTCCCATCCTAAGGTTCCTTGTGTTTACACTTTATTTATTTTTTACATACCTAACACTGAGTATGTATTTTGCGGCAGTAACAGTAAGATTTATATTATAAGGCAAAATATCACTGTATTAAAACCAGGTGAACAACTTATTTTATAAGGTCACACTATCATTGCATCTCTATTCTGATTTTATCACAGGTCTCCACAGTCTCCATTTTATTATTGATTTTACAAATGTGATTAATCATTTCTATTGCTTTTACCTCTTATTAAATATTTATTTAAATTTTTGTCTGTGCTGTTTTTTTACTGAATGCCCCTTTGGATCACCTGGAACTCCCCTCTGTGTGAAAGGTGCTTCATAAATAAAATCGCTTTGCCTTTTCTATTGAATGTGAATTGTAACCTGGACGACTGAGGGATTTACGCAAAGTTAAAAAACCAAACAATACAAATAAAGAGACTGTTGTTATGATCATCATAGTCGTGATCATAACAACAGAAGTGAAAGAAGCACGAAGATAACAACTCGCTCGCTTAAAGAAACCTCCACCGTCCCGCCCCCTTCACATGCGGACAGCTAGCTAACGAGGACGCGTTACATTTACACATTAGCGCAACACAGCGTGTTTCTGGGAGACTTCCGCAAACACTTAAAACGCGTTTCAGTTTCCCGGAACAGAATATATTTAAAGTATCTCTGGGGGGGAAAAACAAAACAACATACGAGCTCCCGGTGGTGCGGGGTTAGCTCGCAGGCTAAGCTAAAGAGCTGACGCGCAGGCCTCGCCGTGCGGACACATTTCACAAATCAAACGCACACGCTCGCGAACAGACAGTTAGCGTGACTCACCGGTTTGATTCCGAACAGCGAGCGGGGCGCGGGTTCGAGCGCGGGGCGATTCAACCGTGGGGCGCGGGGGAAAGTGTTGCGTGGAGCAGATGTTTGAGTCGGAGCCACAGGACTGATTTCCAGACAGCTACGGTCTCGTCGTCGGCTCGCCCGAACAACGCCACCGCTCCGCAAACATCGCGAGAGTTGGACGAAGGGGGCGAAGACACTGGGTGCGTTTGTTTTCCTCCGCGGGATGCGCGTCCTAGTTTCTCCACGTAAAATGCAAAGGAAAGCTTTTTTTTTTTTGCTACATATATTTACACACGAGGCTCAAGGGGTTGGTTCGATTCAATAGAAGGAGACATTTTAAATTCCAGGGGTTGAAATACATCCGCGGGTTAAATCCCCACGGTGTGTGGATTCGCTCCCCCGCCCGAGTGCACCGCACGGGCATGTCAGCGGGCGGCGCTGGGAATCAAAGCGAGCGCCTCATTTGCAAACACCCAACCGCGGAGCTTGAACTTGACTGAAGCGTCTTCCCGCCAATGAAAACGCATCTTTCTGCACGAGCTGCATTCCAGGAGTTATTCAATGTGCATAAATAACCACCGACATTTTGTCTGAGCACGAGGATTACATATAATGAGTCACACATGTTCCACAGCTTTCACTGAATGTAAATATCGAAGTGCTTTATTGTTTTTCTTAAAAGTTTCCATGCCGTCAGTATCAAGTCTGATACAGGACCTGCCTCGACCAGCAGTAAAAAAAATATCAATCGATATCTTATAATTAAAGACTTGGCAGCGATTCTGGGTCCGGGACAGCTTGGAGGAACACGGACGATGGGCTTCCCCGCTCTGCCTCAGTCGTCGTGTTTCAGCTTTCGGATTTTGCCCTTGTGGCGGTCGATCTCCTTCTGCAGGCGCTCGATCTCCTTTTTGTGGTGTTCGATCTCCTCCACGTGATGTTTCCTCAGCGCCTCCATCTGCTCCTTCTCCTTCTGCCTGCAGGCGGAAAAAAAGAAATTGGGCTAAAAATAACAAATCATCAAAACTCCAGTGTCGGCCCTCCTCAATTAAAGTTCTTGAATCTCGTCGAAAAGTTCCTTCTACGTTTTTGACACCTCTTTATAATCATGGTATGTATCTCTTCTTCCAGTTTCTCATTCGTCACCGGTTAGAAACGTCAACACGCCCACTCTCTCACTGTGAAATTTCTGGACATGATCCTGCAGGAAAATGTCTGGACGTCAGTGCAAGTCTGAAAGCAACTATAACTTACCTGAAGTAGCGCTCCTCCTCCGCTACTTGCCTCTTCCCGAAGGCACCGCCCGCCTCCCTCACGGAGCCTCCTCCACCCCCACCTTTGCCCGCTCCCTTGCCCAACTCACCAAGCTGGAACAAGCAGAGGAAAACATTAGATTTGATTTGTGTAAATAGGAATCATATCACAAGCTAGTGATGTTTATCCTTTAGTCTTACAGGTAATCTCAGTATCAGGGACAAGAATAAGTTGCAACAGATCATCGGCATTAAGTGACCTGACCCGTCTCTCACCTTTGGTAAGAGAGCTAAAGCTCAAGGAATCTTCTTACAGTGTCGACATCCCATCTTTGCTGAATTTGAGGTTTTGCTCTCAGGCAGAAGACAGATTACTAAAGTCCAACAGGTTTAAAAATTATTTTATAATTCAAGCCATCAAACTATTCACTTCTAATGATGACCTAGTTTATGAGCCTCTTATTTTTGGTGTGAGTGACAGTTGTATTGATGAATTTTCAAGCTCTTGTTTTTCTGTTGTTATTTTATGTATTTTAATCTTTATCTGTCTTGAGTTTTTCTACTTTGACCAGGCTGCAAAACAAAAAAAGTGCCTCTGGTACCATAAAGTTGAAGTTGATTTTGTCTCAATTTGTAAATCTGAAATAAAATCAGCATTTCACTTGCATTGTAATTGCTAGGACTCCAAAGCAGTTTGTACATTGGACTTGATAAACTCTAGATAAACTCATTTATCTGAGTACATGCTATCTGCTCAAACTGACAAGACAACAGCAGATGATTGTCTTAAATATCCTCCTGCAACAACAACAATCTTTTAAATCCCTTGTTTTAAAACAC